CCGTCCCTTCACAGTGGTGCCTTCTATATCAGGATGGGGGGAGATGGCAATTAAATGACACCAATTAGATGACAAAAAGGAACTGCAATAAACGATTTCTTTCTTTAAAAAAAAAGACAACTGGTTATTATTATAAATTATTGTCTTTACTTAATAAAATTCACACTGCCTTTTTTTCTATCCTTAAATAATTAAGACTGAACAACAAAGGTGGAGTGAAAGGGCTTTAGTGTTGGGTTAAACTAGGTGTCTAAAACTGGTGGGTGGAGATGTGGTTATATAATGTGACCTCAATCAACATCAACAAGATAGGAATTAGTTATAGATAACATGGTTTTATTAGGGATAAACAAACAAAGTCTCTTTTCGTAAGAGCCAGCTGTGCTAATTATGGGTGGGTGAAGAAACTTTTTATTTTCAATTTCATAAGAATGAAACCCTGATGAACCATATGAGTTCAAACCTATAAACCTGATTGTCTCTCATAAGCATTCTTAATTGTCAATAAAACTTTTTATTGATTATTTACGTCCCTGTCTTCCCTGATTTTTAGATACACAAAAGGTTTCCAAATATGGCAAACCTGACTGGTTTATCATGTGTTAAGAAATTTTACTTAGTATTTTCCTCAAAGCGGATGTGTTTATGTTGACACTATGTCTTTCTTCCTGTCAGACTCATGACATTGCCACTAATCTTCTGTGTAGGTCTGACCGTTATAGACAATGGGTCTGTCTCCGTCAGAGCTACACAAGCACAGTTTCAGAGATGGATGTGCATTCTGACCAGTCCTATGCATTTTCAATAAGCTCTAAGTGCAACAACCTCATATGATCTGGTTTTATATAGGAATCAGTTGATTCTATTCAGACCATCAGTCTGACAGCTTGATTCCAGCTGATTCTTAAACATGAGGTAGTTAAATATGAGAACTAACCAAAGTACAACAGAAAATCACCAACAGAAGTCTTATAAAAGCTTATCAAAAAAATATCCAAAAGCACAAAAAAGATTGATAAGAACACATAAAGGACTAGTTAGTGAATAAAAACATGTATCCTTGTATTACAACCTGTTCCTGCATGTTGACAAATTAGACAAAGTTATGACTTCTCAAATAGAATATGCTGCATTTCATCTATATCCTTCATCTCATTTCAATCGACTAAGAAACAGGTTTGTCTTAGTAATCTCATGAAAAATCCTCTTTCCCAACAGGACTCTCCCAAGACCTGATTCTAAAATAAACCCTGATCAAAAACCCCAGGGAGGCTTCCGTAAACAGAGAATGCAGACAATTTGCCTGGCTTAACACATCTGGCTGAATGGAAAGGCGTGTGCCCTTTCAGAAACACGTGGGACAGTTCTCCCTTTCACTGCTATGCCACTGGGAGAGGACGGCTATCAAACGGCATTCCAGTTATTGTTATTCTAATTAGCGTCCAGGAAAAAAAAGGATGTGTGCCTGCAAACGTGCACACTCACACAGAGCTTAAGCTTATTTTGGTGCTAGCACGAGGCGAAACAGGGGTAGAGAGCCTGATCAGCCAAGTGTGAGATAGAAGCCCTGATGTCTCCCAAGGATTCAGCTAAGGCATGGGGTGAAACAGCACAATAATCAACAAGGCCGGCAAGAGAGAGCCCAGGGGAAGCTCTGCCTTCACACACAGTCGTCATGAGAATATTTTAAAGAGGACCTCCACGTTTCCCTCATCCTCACGCAGGCTGCCTTTATGTGACAGCTGTGCACATAAAAAGAGACAGGGTTATAAACCAAAACAACTATTCAGGCTGCTGTAATTCAACTTCTATCAGCTCAGAGGACAACATACACATCTCTACTAATGTCCATGTTTACTAGCACAGAATTAGACTAATCAACCGTATTGATGATATAGTTGAAATAGGCCAAGTAGTAGTTAATTTAAAGCATTACAGTTCTACAGAAAAGTATTAGTCTATAAATGAATTGAAGAATTAATAAAAATCCCCCATAGGATTACTTTGTTTTTGCTTATATTTTACAAACATGCTACAGATTGTCAAGAAATCTGTACTACAGAAAACCCTTTTAAAAATACTGCTGTAAATGAATAATCTTAATAATAAGAGTCAAAAAGCTATCCAAACAAAACAGGCTATTTAATTAATTGAGCATGAACAGTCTTGTTGAGATGCTAACTTGAACTTAATCATCTTTAAATCTGAACTTTGACTAGGCCAATCCAAATCCTTAATTTTATCATTTTTTTATGAGCCAATTAGAAGTTGATATGTTGGTATCCTTAACAAAATTGTCCTTTTATGTTACCAAATATGAATATGGTTAAGATTGTATACTGCTGGAGAGGTATTCTGCTTCAATATTGTTTTGAGAGACAAAAATAAATCTGTCATTCAGTGTGCAAAGTCCTCCAAGTCCTGAAGCAGCAAAGCTTAGTGAAGAGACAAAGTCTTAACAGGCTGCTAAAAAAAAAAAAAAAAATTGTAAAGTGCTACCTACATTGTCAACAAGGGCTAAAATGCTATATTGGTTTCACAGACTTGGCCTTAGAAATGGCTTTGTAACCATATTCAGACTAATGGCTGACAGTAAATTTGTTTCTGTTCCTTTATTTCTTTAAAAAATGCATAATTTATTGGTTAAGTATTTCTTCATGCCCACTTCATGTTTGTCAGTTGGGTACTAATTAAATGATGTCTTAATTCTATAGGTCTCATGATCATAAGGTCTGGCCTGACCAGTGAAATACATCTCTGTTTTTCAAAAAAATGTATTTAACCATAGTTAATTCAAGATTTAACAAGTTGGGCGGTTAATTTTGTCCACTTGAGGTCTGGTTAGTTTGTATTTATTAATTTTTTCTCCATCTGAATGAAATCATAATTTGAAAACGGAACAGGTTTTGTTTGTATCCAGGTCAAATTCATTTAAATTGATCTCAAATATACAGTTGTGGCAAAAACAAGAAATCTGTTAAGGATATTTTTATTTTACCAACTGCTCAAGAGTATGGATTTATTAATTATAACTTCTTAAAACCAAATCTGTAATCCATATATAACAGAAGCAGCTCTTGCAAAGAAAGAAAGGAAACCAAGCACTAAGATGTGAAATTCCAGGCCATGGGAACCCAAACCAGTTCTGAATGCATTTCCTAATCCTTTTATGAACCCCAGGCAATCCACACAGTGCATTCTGTCTTTAGCTGAAATGCTGTATCATTTTTGGAGTATTAGGCTTTCTTACCCTAGTAAGTAATGTAAAAGATGAGTCTGATATTTCATCACAAAAAGCAATATCCAACTGTTATTTCAAAGTTGACTGGTTAGCTCTAATGCCAAATTAACAGGCCTTACATACTATACATGATTACAAGCCTGGCAGGACTATTTCCAGTAGCAGGGCTAAATGCCGCAGAGACAGAGTAGAAGCTGCAGAAAACCTCAGCTTGCTATTTCTTGAAAGGCACCCTGGCCCCTGGCACCAGTGAGACCTGGAGAGACGCCAGGGCAGTGATTTGAAGAATTCTTACGGTTTCTGTGGCTCCACAAATACCCCCTTTACAGAAAATTTGACATGAGCCAGTGAGGGCAACAATAAAAAGTACCAATTGGAGTTTTTACGGTAAAGCTCAACAGTTGGCAACTTTCAGTGGACAGATGACCTATTGAACCTTGTACTAATTCTGGGGGAAACTGTGTTTAAAGATTCATCCAGCAAGAACCAACCACAGGAAGTATTACATCTGCATAGATGGAGATACTTGATATCATCTTGGCATGTTGTATGCCAGACTGGCAAATTCACAAGCGTCCTCCTTCCCCCAATAATAGCTTAATCTGACATACCCCACCCCACACACACACCATCTATGGTTGCAGCGCACTCATTAATGCCCAATCGTCCAGCCCTGGGAATATTGTTGAAGGGGGAGGGAGCCCATGGTTGAATTCTGCAAAGCAATTTGAATATGTAACGTGCCAGGCTAGATGTAATCACCAAATCCTTTTTAGTGTTTTAAGCAAAGTTAAACTGCGCTAATTTGACATCACTTTATTCTTTCATAAGCAGGTTCATTTGCTGGTGGTGTCTTAGATAACTTGTAAAACTTCAACAAGCTTGGTGCTTTTTTTTTTTTTTCAAACAATTTTTTTTTTCAATCTTTAAAAAAAAAAAAAGTCAAAAAAGCAAATCTACTCACTTCTTGCATGCCATTAGTGTTTTTGGGGTCTTTTATGTATGCAAACAGACAAGAAGCATGGAGACTTGGGGACTCCCTGAGGTCTGCCAATTCCCCTAACCCCCTCCAACGCCTCCCAGAACAAAGCCTCCCCAGTTGCGTGCCTGACCCAGTAACCTGGCTGGCAGCCAGGGGGGGTGGGTGTAGCGTACCCTGTCTTTGGGCTTTAGGGCCCCGTGTGAGCACACAGGGCTATTATTTGTAAACCGACCAAAGTCACTTTCGTCAGTGCAGTCAGCTCTTGTAGGGATTAGAATGGCTTCTTATAGACAGGGCCGATTGTGCAGTTAATGTGTACTAGCCTACTGAGCAGAGGTGGGGAGGGTGTAATACTGACCCAGCTAATCTGACTGAACATAGGCAACTTTCCTTTTAGTCGCTTCAAAGAAAGGTCTTCCAACTGTCTGCAAAAAGATGAAGATTAAGCACCAGGTGTCTGTGTTGACATGTCTAATGAAGGATATTTGACACAAGAAAGTGTAACTGAGGAAGGAAAGACACTTTACGAAAGACTACTAGATAAGCTGAATTAAAAATAACCATAATATCATCCTGCCCCAACAATGACACCTCCGTCATTCCAAGGTTTGAAAAATGCAACTCGAACAAGACTTTCATTTGAATCCATGTAACTGATAATTGGATATAAAAGAATCAATAAGATCACCAGACACACCATCACAAATGTGCTCAACAGAAAAAAGACTGAATTAATTCTCAGCTTTTGAAGCAATACAGAAATTATGCATATCTTACCCCCTGGCTTCCCTTGAAGCAAATCGCTGGCTGGTTTGATAGTGAAGCCTGTAAAAAAAAGCGGGGGAAAAAAAGGGTAAATTAATTCAAAATCGAGTTCATCCCAAATCTACAGAGCAGTTCATATGTGGGTGAAAATATCTTTCTACTCTTCATGCCTCTGTGTTTGTTGCCATAACCACCATTCTCCAGAAGTCTAAAGGTTAAGGGTTTCTGGCTCTAATCTGAGGAGAAGTAGGTGTAACTAATTATTTTTCTTCCACAAAAAGAATTTCTTCACATCTCACTGGTTTGTGTGTTTTCAGATCATGTTTCTCTAACTGAAAAATGAGAACCAATATTAAATCCCCAGTTCTAAGACAACTCTCCTGAAACCAATTATTCGGCTTCAAAACACATAATTACTGCCATCTGTAATGTAAAGGCTCCTACATTGATTGGCAGGGCTCTTCGTTCATTATAAATGCCCTTCCCTATTGAGAGCCCTGGTTAACAGACCTAAATTTTGAATGTTAAGTAGAAATATACACATTATATATTTATTTATCCATTTATTTATATGCTAAGTTGCATATTAAACCTTTTTAATGGTAGAGAGCCACATTTGAAAAGATTTAGGAGGTAATTAGTTAAAAACAATTTATACTTTAATTCAATATTAAACCCAGAATACAAATAAGTTTTGTGTTGCTCCAGAGTAGACGATAAGTTACTTGATTAACGTAACACCTCTCATTTGATCTATTCTAGAAGACTCGCACTAGATCTAGTCCTAATTAGCCCAACTTCCCTTTAATATATATAGCTATAACATGATGATGGATCAAAAAAGTGACGCTAATGTTCTTTTGTAGCCACAAAAACTGCATTTTAACTATGAGCCTGCAAGTTCAATTCTCGTGTTAGTTACGGTTTTACAAACACACGAATAACTATTTAGTCCCTATCGTATATAAAACGTTCCAACACCGGCCCAGAACAGCTCTGCCAATCACATTGCAGTAATTCAGGCTAATGCGTGTTATAAAGCTAAGAAAACAGCGAAACGTGCCAAGCTCACAGCCAAACAAAATTAAAGATGGCAGAGCAGGAGAATCCAAATGCAATTCATTTATTGTAATCCACAATTTCATCTTTGAAGGAGTGTTTTTTCATGGCACCTGCTACTTAAGACCCTCTTTATCTGTTACCGTGATTGGCTAAAACCAAACTTTTGTTGGTCGGCTCTAGATTTAGTTTCACCCAGTCCATAGATTTCATAGGAGCAGGCCCAAATTGATAATGTGTAGAAATAAACTGGGAGTACTTCATATTGTGAATATGGTTTGCCAGGTTACTAAGGGGCAGGAACGCTTCTATATAATTAAAAGTTATCATGACAATAGAAAAAACGATAATAAATAAAATCTTCAATCTGCAATAAAAATATAAACTCTTTGGTGCAATTTAGCAAAATGGATGGTTTAGACTAAAATAATCACTTTTCTGACTATTTTCCACAAAAATCAGATCAAAGCGGGATGCATGCACTTAACAGATCACCTTGCTGTGTTTCCATAAATTTTGGTTCACGGTACAATAATCTCTCTCTCTCTCTCTCTCTCTCTCTATATATATATATATATATATATATATACTTCTGTATACTTCTTTGCTCTGCAGGCATTTTTCCTATATTGCATTATATAGAATGTCTCAGTTCTTTATAAAACTTTAGAAAAAAAAGAAACAAAAGAAACAAAACTTTGAGAAAGTTGTGAACTTTAACTTCAACTAAAACAGAATAGGTTTAATCTTATGAAAGTTGACTTTCAACTTTCAATCTCTTTTAAGAAATAGGCCAAATTGGACCTAATTGGCAGCATATATGTTTACATTGTAACACATAAATATATTGTATATAAGAGAAAGATTTTTTTTAAATAAAAATATCAAACATCTACATGTGAATAATAACGTATAATAATGTACATATATTTAACAATCTCTTGATAATATTTCTTAAATGGTGATATGACTTAAATTAATAATATATTTCACAAGGAAATCAATCATACTTGTTTTGGTTTATCGAGAGTCTTGAAAGAACCACATAATTTACAAATAATTCAGAACCACAATCAACAGACATGGAGAGAAATACAGTACTAGCTAAAACATACTGAATTATTCCATCAACCCAAATGCTGGGTTATGAAATGTGTACACATGATGAGTTTTTTAATGAAATTTGAATGATTTCAGTAGAATTTAGGAGGGTTTTTTTAACTTGCATTTTGTGAGATTTGTGAGAAATGTGAGATTTGAGTTTTATGTTGCCGTTTATCTCCATAATCCATGAAAAATATTTAAATACGTAAATAATAATAATAAAATGTGCAACCTTTGAGTTTATCACATGGCTAAGAAATATATGAAGGAATGAATGAAAAGGCAATGTATGGCAGTATACTTTTTATGAGTCAAACTATTTCCTTGAAACCTGCAGACTGCTGATAAGTAGCACAGTTTGTTGTCTTTTAATTGCCACATTTCTGTTTGTTTGTTTGTGTTTGACATGTTTTCTTTGGTTTTTCCGGCTGTCCAATATTGCAGTTTAACATTTGTGTTCCTATTCAACATGCATGTAACGTTTTTTGTGCTAAAAATCACTTTGTTGGATCTTTAAGGCCCCCTTTTTTATCCTGAACCCAGGGGTGTAAAGATCAGTAACAGCACAGACACTCAGGTTGGCCACAGTGGGAGTCCAGCAGTCTGAACCGGTATTTTCTGGGGTGGTCTCCAGATTGGAAAACCTTCCCCTCCCCTCTCCTCTCTCTGCATGCCTGCTGTGGCCTGGAGGAAGCTGTCAGATTGTGGGAGAGCTGTGGAGTTTCCTCCGCTTTACGGACCAATGAGCTCCGGAGATGGGCGGGCAACAACAACGCACAACAACTTCCACCGACGCCAGCTGTTTACTATCCCACTGAACCACCGAGGCCAGCCGGGCTCCAGGTTTAGTGGCTGGAAATGAGTCGGGAATGTGGCGCACACAGAAACAGACCGTGTTGCTGTGACAGCAGAAAAGAAAGGAAAATAAAAAGCCTAAACTAACCGGGGCTCATATTTCCCTCACAGCCGCGGCTCTGCAGAGAGAAAGAGCGCTTTATAGACTTTATGATCTCTGACCAATCTAATGGGCCATAAAGGCAATAAAAAAACAAACCTTCACGAATCTGAAAAGCAAACTCATTTGCTTGATCGACTATTGAATTTATTCCAAGGAACAAAGGGGAACAGTTTTTTTTCTTCAAAATATTCGCCTTTATTAATAAACACTGAGAAAATGGGCTTTAAATAAAGGACAAAGTTTGTTTTTCAGACATTTTCTCATTAAAACCTCATATCTTTGCTTAATTCAAGTCATATATTTAAAAATATGAAAGTGTAATATATTAATAACCACAGGTTTAATCCTGCTTTTAAAAGCCACCTCTGCATTTTAATCCATGACATCTTGAAAAGTCGCAGTCAAAACAAAAGGCTGTAAACATTTTAAGTATTTTTCCCGTCAAAGTGTCAATTTTTCCTCATTTTATTTATTTATTTTTTTAAGCAGTTCCCGGAGTTGGGAGAGAAGGGTTAAAGAAAGCAGGAATAATAAAAAAAATCCTCTGCAGCGGGTTTAAAGTATTGCTTACCTTCAGGTTCTGGAAGGCTTCCAGGGTCCGGAAGGCCGTGTCAGTGAGTTTGACGTGGTACAGACTCTGATTCGGGTTGTTTTTGTTAATCTTGCCACAGCAGAGCCCATACCGATGCTCCTGTCTCAGCGCTGCCATTTCTACAACTGAAGCCCATTGGCGACATTCTGCCCGAAACGTCACGGAGGAGAAGATGTGGGCGGGGCTAACACACGTACGCTGAAACGCACACGCGCACTTCAAGTAAATATGCGTGCAAAGCATTGTTTTCTTTTTTTTCACTTTCGTTATTCTGGTCAGTATTTTTGGTCATTGGTGTGTTTTTATCTCCTCTTTGATGTGTTTTTGCCCCTGGGTCAGATCTAAGTCTCTCCAACTGGATTTAGGTAAATAATCTGTATTTTCTCACCTATACAAGGAAGTAAATGCATTTGTAAATATGACTTGCAAAGCAGATTTAATTTTACTGACGACGATCTACTTACAAATGGACATAAATGTATTTTTTAGTTTAGTAAACCAGTGGTGGTTCTAGATCAAATGTGCCAAGGGGCCAGGAGGGGGCCCGGGTGTTTTCATGGGGGCACGGAAAAGCATGAAATAAAAAACAGGGCAAGGGATTCAAATATATTAAAGCGGCAGTCTGTAACATTGAGAAGAGAGCAGACTTCGACTGAAAATTTGAAGAAAAACAGGTTTCATGCCACTCCCCCACCTTCTTTGCTTCACTCATGCCCCACCTCCAAACTCCACCCCTCTCACAGCATCTGCGCGGCTACCGCATGCGACCAGAAGCATCCAAGCAGCGTACGCGGCATGGAGTGTGAACCGGTAAGAGCGCTAACACTCACCTCCAAGCAGCTAGATATAAGATGCTGGTTATATCGAAGTTTGCCGTGTAAGCAGTTGTCGGCAGGGGCAGTAAGGGCAGTTTCTCTTTCGCTGGTGGCTGTCGCTCCGCCATGACTTCCACGCTCGTCCTCCTGACTGCAGCAGCCGGGCGGCAGCGGCGAGAGGGAGGGGGCGGGATTCAGCGTGTGTGAGCTGTGATTGACACTCCATCAGACGCTCCTCTGGCTGTGATTGGTTGTTTTGACTCGTCCCGAATTATTCTTTCCAGATGGAAATACAGGCAGTATGCGGGACCAATTGAAGCAGTTTTTTTCACAGGTTACATATCACATGTACTGCTGTCTGGGCATAGGGACAGTTTTAGCCAATATGACAAAAAAGTGATTTTTAAAAACTTACAAAATTCAGCTTTAAGATAGCTGCATGAAGTGTAATTTCTATTCAATTAGGCTTAATTATGTCTTACTAGGACAATACATTCATCATTTAGGAATTGTACATGTTTTTGCCTTAATTTAAGTTAAAGTTACAGTTTTTTTTATAAACTCTGAATTAGAACTGATAAATTCAGCTGTAAAAATCTGATTATTTTTTTTAATTTGTTTTGAAAAAAACATTTAGTAGATGAAAACTGGGATCCTATCTCAATTCCACTGAAGCTATTACCTTATTGTTTTTAAATAAGAAAAAAAAAATATATAGATCCAAAGGACCTATCAGTCTGTTCCAGTGCATGTCATCATTAGAATTTCTTTTAGTAGTATGTCTTCAGTACAGGGGTCATAAGAGGGGCCAGGACATCTTCTACAGGGGCACTGGCCCCCTTTTGCCCCTGTCTAGAACCGCCTATGTAGTAAACACTCTATATATTTACATAATTAACTTACCATATCACTTCTAATCATGTAAAATATCTTCCTGCAGTCGCCAGCAAATATGGTGCATAGTATTTGATAAGTGTTTGATTAGTTATTGTGTAAAGAAAGCCGTGATACTTATAATTGGGGACCAACAGATGAAACAGTATATGATATTGGGGTCAAAGGGAAGTTTGGAAATAATCAGTTTGCTTTTGTTTTTCTCTGGGGGGTAAGGGAGTTGGTTGAAGTACAAAAGTCCCTTTTCTTCATAGTAATGTGAGAATTCACAAAATATAACTTTGAGAACTAAAATTTAATCATTGTCGAATATTCTAGTCCTAAAGTCTGTCAGGGGCCTATTCATGCATACTTGTGCACACTGCAAAAAATGTTTAAATCTAAGAAAGTTATTTTGTCTTAAAATAAGTGCGTTTTGTCTTGAATTGAGGAAGTAAATCAGACACTTTGCCAATGGAACAAAACAATTTACAATTAAAATAAGAAAAAAACAATTGCAATGTGTTATTTTAAGAACACATCTTATTTTAAGAGTAAAAATACTCATTCCATTGGCAAATCATGATATTTACCTACTCAAAGTAAGGTTAAATACACTTTATTTAAGAATTTATTACTTATTTCTAGATTGTTTTTGCAGTGTGCCAACAAAGTACTTAAAATAATCCTGTTTTGTGCTTTCAAAAATAGAGCCAAGGTTACATCTCGCTTAAATAGTGTTTTACAGAACCTCTTGTGTATGTGCAACTATTCGGATCAGTCTAAGGTTTGTAGATTTTGAATTAAAGACCATAAAATGGAACCGAGTTAGTGTTGACCTTGTGAGAGGTGAAGGGATAGGAGCCATGAACAGAAGGAGAGAGCTATGAATTGAGGTATTCGAAAGGAGCCCTTTTCACAGACATTGAGAGGAGCCAGAGAAATAGAAAGATAGAGCATTCAGTCATAAAAGAAAGCCAAAAAATGAAAGAGAAAAAATTCAGAGAGGAGAAAGATGCAAAGGGAAGATAGTATGTCACCAAATTTAATTGTAAGCAAGGTGTTTCTGTTAGTGGTCCATATAAAAGAAAGTTCTGTAACACTATGTTTTCTATCCCTAACCTTTCCATGGTTTATAAGGTAATTTTTCCCTCAAATTAGCACATATATCTGAAGAAAACTTTTAGAATTTCACTTTTTTCAAGTTATTTATTCAGTGCAGGCAAAGGTTTAACAACCTGCTATGCTAAAAAGAAATGATGCTTGTTCCGAACAGATAATCATGCAACACAAGCCACCTGCACAAGTACTGCTTGAGCAAGGAGGTGATCAACTGTGTGGTGAATTGATCGCTTATAACAGAAAAAAGAGAAATTCAGTATAAGAAATGGTTCCGAAATTAAAAAGCCTATAGTCTATATTTATCACAGAGTGACTTAAATATTTTAAAAGTATAAAATATTACTGAAATAAATTTTGATTGATAGTTTGGGACTATCACCCCGCTGCTTGGTAGTAGGAGTGTCTAGTGTTCGCAGACCTAGAGCCTGCTCCTAGTCCAGTCCGAGAAAAGAAAAGTTACTTCATCCATCCAGTTTCTTCTGCTTAGACCTGTCAGGGTGGTGCTGGGGCCGGTGCCTATCTCCGGCAATCAATGGGCGAGGGTACATCCTTGATATGTCACCAGTCTGTTGCAGGGCAACACGGAGACACACAAAGACACACAAACATGCACTCACACCTAAGGACAATTTAGAGAAGACAAAACAACAGTCATGTTTTTAGACTATGGGGGGAAGCTGGAGTACCAGGAGATAACTCACGCATGCACAGGGAGAATATGCAAACTCAATGCAGAAAGACCCAGGGCTAAGAATCAAACCCAGAACCTTCTTTCTGCAAGGTAACAGTGCTACTCACTGCCACACCGTGCAGCCCATGTTTTCTGGAAATCAAAACATTACCAGTAATGTTAAACCCGGATTGCAATAGGAAGCTATACTCAGGAATGTTGTATCTACGCTGTTCCTTTCTACATTAAATGTGCTCATTTATTTTCAGTATGAGTCCAAGCTATGGTTTAGCTTTAAATCTTACTTGTGACCCTTTTACAATCAGGTCATACAGAACTATATACCATGTGAAGTCCTGCTATTTTCTGTTTATGTGAGAGCCTGCATTCTTTTAACATTTGCTGGCGAATTTTTTTATTAAAAATATTAATATTTATTTTGCATCTAGGTAATTAGATGATAATGTTCAAACTACTGACCTTTTTGATTTTGATATTGTTTTTGCTGAGATCTTATTTATTTATTGTCAAATTATGATGGCAATCTATTTTAAATATTGATTTGTGTGTATTTACAAACTAATCTGAAGATAATTTTATGTTTATGCATTTCAAGAAAGGAAAGGGGTTTGAATATAGAGTATCAGCCACACAGCAAGTAATTAAATCTAAATGAATTATGTTGTATTTTTAGTTCTTCCTGTACCAAGTAACTGTCACAATTTTCTTTACACATATACAGGCAATAATTGCTTGATATATAAACCCCTGTAAAAGTTTTCCATCGCTTATCAGGGCCCAGTGAGAAATCTTTTCATGTGGCCCAAAACCTCTGGTGGCGTCCCTATTTGCTGGTCAGTGTATGCTTAGCATGCTAAAGTAAATAAGTTATCTGTCCCTCTCTCACAATTTCCTTCATAAGTAAGCAAGTAAATTTAAAACAGCAGATGATTAAAGAAATTATGGAATTATGTTTCTTTAATTTTTTGTAATTATATGTATAAAAAATACTGCTGTCATGGTTTTGGTTCTGTTTAAGTTTCATCTTTGAGTTTTCATTGGTTTTATTTCCATTTTGTATTATTCTGGTTATTTTTGATTGTATTTGAGTTCTTAGGTACTTCTTGTTTGCCCTCTTGTGTCTGTCTTCTTTTCCCTAGATTCCTATGATCACACCTGCTCCCAATCTGCTGATTAGCCTGTAGTGTTGCACCGATACTGATATCCCGATATCCCTACCCATATGAGGCAGGGCCCCGATCCAGCACTAAAATGGTGGTATCGGTATCGGCGAGTACCAACAAATAGGGCACCGATACCATTTTGAGAGCCAAAAGTTTATTCAACTATTGTCACCCATTCCAGGTAGGCAATAAAAAGTTCTACTGGATTCCCTTTGTATTAGTATTTTTCCTGCTTCACAAAGGTAGGCAGCAGCTTGACAAAGCCATGATGTCATTTATTTTGCATTCAAGTAGTATGCAGTTCTTCATATATACACGCACACATCAATTTCAAACAGATGGTAACGGTATGGTATCGGCTGATACTGTACAGCCAGGTATTGGTACCAAAAAAATGGCATTGGCGCAACACTATTAGCCTCTTCTTTGTTTCTCTGTCCCATATCTGCACCTCCTGCTTAGTCACTTTTTGCTGGTTTGTCATCATTTCTTCCCCTTCAAGTGAGTTATCTGATTTTCTGTATCATTGGGGATCCGGAGGATTTATGTTTTTGGATCTTTGCTTCTGTTGGATTTTTGGATAAATAAATCTGCAAGAAACCACCTTTAGCTTCAGTCTCTGCATTTGGGTCCTCCCCTCAAACTTCCACCCAACCTGACAAATACTTCCTCTTGTATTTCCGAAGTGTCTAAACTATTTCAAGCTTCAAACATGTTTTCTTGCATGCCTCAAAGTAATAACTTCACATAGAATTTCCCATACAGACTGTACATAGCCTTTAGCAAAACAGACTTCAGTTTAAAGTGTGGGGTTGGATTTGTCAATAACAATTCTCATAAGACGTTCAAGTGTTAGTGGAATAGGTTGAAAGGACAACACTTAAAAAAAGTCATTTGTTGTTTTGTGTTAGTTGTGTTTTATAACATGCTCCTATTTCTATTTTATTTACTACTTTTACATAATTAACTGAATGTAGAACACTTGGTTTTTGTTGTGTCAAATAGGTCTTATAGAAAAACAGATTGGATAGACACTAAGGACACTGGTTTAGTACTTTGTATAGACAGTTTAAAAAAATAAATCATGCACAAAATGAGAAAAGTGTAAGAATATTCAACTATAAATCTTTTAAGGACAAAAAAGTATATATATAAATATATGACACATTTTTGTCCCAAGACAAACAAAAATATTGACACATGAAATATGTCGGAGAAAATTAATGCCAGAAATGGAATTCGGATTACCATAATCCTGATGGATAAGATCCTTTGATGTGGATTAAAGAATGAGTCAGTGAAGCAGTGTTTATTTATGAAAAGTAGAATATGGATGCCTGAGCGACATCTGCGTTACAGTGATCAACAAGCTTGTCTGTGAGTGCTGTATTGAATTTTAATATTTCTCTCCCCATTATTGTCTCGTATTATTTGGATGTTATTGTTGAAATCTGCAAAAACAATTCTGATTATGATTAATGGATATTTTCCTAATTACTCTTTCTTTTTCATTTTCAGAATATTTAGCACTTTGTGAATCTTCTGATCTCAGATCTCTATCAGTTAGTGGTTTTACTGACATCCAAATGACTAAATCAGGCATTGAAAGATAGAGTTTTTAATGTGATACTCTTTAAATATTTGCTCCTAGCAAATCAAAGCGATTATGAAGTTCTAATATTGCGGTGACAACTACACTTTGAAAAAACAAAATCTTACAGACATGCAGTGATGGGACTAACGGCGTTGAAACTAACGCCGTTACCTTGTTTTAGTAACGAGTAATCTAACTAATTATTTTGACTGTAACTATAACGCAGTTACCATTGCAGACACCCCGTTACTGCGCGTTACTCAGGTCGCACAATGAACCTTTTTTCATGATAGGACTCGTGCGCAGCTGCGTGAAGCTGACACCCCACCCACGTCAAAAAACTCTGCAAATAGACTGAATGGTTAGTGCAACGTTAGTGCAGATTTGTGCAGAAAAAAATATAGTTTGTGCTACTTTTGTTTAAGAGATATTAAAGATTTATTTTAGGTCATCAAGAGGTGCGCGCCTTGTCATGAGAGAGGGGAGGATGAGATTCCGTCTGTCAGTTGGGTAGGTGGGTGTTTCCGCTGGCGGGTGTTAACGTACAGCACACACAGAGAGATGGAGAGCGAGGATGACTCCAGCAGCAAAACAGCGTTTTCCAGATGGAAATACCGGTGTTACGTAGAGTTGCGTTTCCCCATCACATAACGGTTTCCTCTGCATCTCCACACAGCGCAGGCGGCAAGAGTCACCGCGCAAGCGACAGGAAACGCGCATGCTCGCTAAAGGCGCGCAACAGTCGCCCTGTGCTCGCGCCACAGGAGAACTATGGAGAGCGTGAAGGATCAAATGAACCTGACAACAGCCAGAAATGATAGCCTATATGGAGAAAGGGAGAAATCTGGATGGATGGATGGATGGATGGATGGATGGATGGATGGATGGATGGATGGATGGATGGATGGATGGATGGATGGATGGATGGATGGATGGAGACTCTGCCTTCTCAACCTACTATATTTTTTATTTTAAACATTATTTGATGGCCTTTGTGGCAGGGATGGAGATCCATATTTTATGTCACACACAGAGTATACATCTAGATAGATAGATGGATAGATAGATGCTGCAGTATCTATAACAACCCAAACACACAGATTTCAGAATTAGACATCCCCAGTTATTAATTTCATTCACTCACCGGATCTGAATGTCCTGTTATAAAACTTCACATGGCGTTCCCCCCTGATGTCATTTACGTTGAGTTGCAATAAATGCTAAACTGTCTGCAGGTTCTTGTCTTTGTCGTTCGCTCTATTCAGCTGGCTTTGGAAACACACGGCGAGAAGGTGGGGGCCGGGTGGTGAGGGTTACGGGGGCGAGAAACGCAAAAGTAACGCAATAGTTACTTTTACTAGTAACTAGTTACTTTTATTGTGGAGTAACTCAGTTAGTAACTCAGTTACTTTTTGGGAGAAGTAACTAGTAACTATAACTAATTACTTTTTCAAAGTAACGTGCCCAACACTGCAGACATGATACATATTTGAAAAATGCTACTAGTGATCTATTTGAGCTACAGACAATGAGACTAAAAAATAAAAATCCACAGATGCCACATTAGCACAGGATAAAAGCAACTTTTGTTACCAAGCAGATTCAACTATACTATTCACTTATATTGTTCAGCCAGAAAATGTTAATTCAGTTCGTTTCAGATCAGTCTATTTATATAGTGTCAATTGACAACGGATTTAATATTATGGAACATGAGACAAACATGTTGAAGTTTCATACAGTCATACAAAACAACATTCTAGATGATTTGCAAGTAAGTTTCATTGTCAAAAAACCAACAACTCCTTATGTCAGAAGTAGAAATGTACTCCACTGTACATTTCAACCTGCTTCCTGCATACAGACAAGGGCGACAGTGGCGTTGGATGTAGGAGTTTGCCCTGAAATCGAAGGATTGATGGCTCAAGCCCTGGCTCTGACTTTTGTTGTCGTTGTGTCCTTGGGCAAGACACTTCACCTTGTCTACTGATGGTGGTCAGAGGGCCTGGTGGCGCCAGTGTACGGAGCCCGGCTTCTGTCAGAGAGCCCCAGGGCAGCTGTGGCTACAATGTAGCCTGCCACCATCAGTGTGTGAGTGTGTGTGTGAATGGGTTAATGAATATGGTGTAAAGCAATTTGGCCAAGTCTCCTGACTTGAAAAAAGGGTGCTATATAAGTACATGCCATTTACCTCAGAGGACATTGAAGTTATCTATCTTTCATTATGTTTCCCTTTTCAATTTATTTGAAACTCTTTTTGGGGTTATTTCAAATGTAAGGGGCAGAAATGAAAATGAAGGGAGATAAATAAGATGAATAACAAAGATTGAAAGGTGTGATGTAAAGTGAAAAATGAGAAGAATAGAGGAGAGGGAAAAAAAGCAACATAACATCCTTGGATTCTGCTTCTACACCTGCAGAGAGTGTAAGAAAAAAAAACATTAAAACAAAGATAAAAGCATCACAGGTACAGACACACAAACAGTTTTACAAAAGAGCATTAACTCAATCATGATGCATTTAGTTCCACCCTTAATAAACTATAGGGTTTATCTTTATGCATGCATATCTGTAAACACTTGGACCCAAACACCTTTGGATTTATGTGGGAGTGCCCTTGTAATATGTAAAGTTTCTCCATAAGAAAATTAAATGTTAAAAGTGGTTGTAAGGATTTAAGGTTATCACATCTCCTTAATATAAAATATGGAATAGCAATGCTAGTCAAAACAGAAATACTAGTATTTCCATCAGAATCCTTTCTGGTAATATCTTTACAGGAAGTTAACAGGATTATATAAACTATATATAAAAAGACAGATTGCTTTTTATTTTGTCACAGTCTGATGAAAAATTTTATTTTTATGTTCTTAATATCAAGGTTATTTGATTAAATTATTTTTTTTCTGAATTTCAGGATGTTTAGAAATAAAAGATTTTTACCGGTAGTTTCCCTAAATCATTGATTAAATCATGCATTTAATCAGAATTGGAATGGTCACCTTTAAAACCTTGAGTTGTGTGAAATGTTTGCTAATAGTTTTCTGGATTTTAGACTCGTTACATAACTGGTGTAACTCAGTCATCTATATTGACTACATTGCTTGCAAACACCTTTTCAGCCCAACCCAGGCAGTTTGTATAGGGCTGTAAACAGGGCTTTTTGAATGTCACTTAAAAACACAAGATTTATTGTCTTTAGCCCAAAGTAAGTAATTTTAAGTTATGTCCTTTTCCATTTGGAAAAGGACACAACTACTGACACAACTACTGAAGATTTACCTTCTGGCTGATATCTTAGGACATTTTCTCAAAATTTTCAGGTGATCTCATGATTTAATCCATTTTGAGAAGTCCATAATTCCATCCTGCATTATAAAACTCTCAAAAGATGATACTATCACCCATGCACTTAACACTTGCAAACCTCTCCCTCAAATGAACAGAGTTTTTATTGGTCAAGCACTAATCATTTAGCCTCATAGAATCATGAAACTGAAACATGAAACAGTCTCTGTAGCTGTGTTTTTTTTACTAACACTTATTTTACCTTTTATGTTGCTGTTGGAGTAATTACATTTTCCATTGGCAACCTGCCTTTTATTACTCAACAATGTAGGAATATTTTTTTCTGTAGAAAATGATGATGTCTCTTACCAGTTTTGCAAGGTTTTTTACTCTTGTAGTGAGTACTGACTCACACATTTCACACCAAAACCAGTTCATCTCTTAGACACGGAACCAAACCCCTTCCTTAATGGTATTATGACAGCGATATTATGTTGTGCATAATTGCAGATAATTGTTTGAACAGATAAAAGCAGCACCCTCAAATTATGTATACAGCCTCACCTGAGGACAAACTATACTTGTAAAGGTCCACAGTTATCTTGCAAAAACCATGCAGAATCTCTTTACTGTTTCATTTTTTTGCATACAAGAAAGCAGCTTGAAAAACATCTATCCTGAATTGACCTGTCATGAAATTACAAAGCCAAGACATCTTTATTTGGCCGCTTTACATTTTTATGCAGGCATATTTTTGTTATTAATGTAGAGTATGTAAAGGTCTGGTTTTACTTACTTACTTGCCTGTAGTGAGCCCAGGTCAGCTTTAGCCTCTTCCGGGTCCAACAGACTTGTTCCCCGGTAGGCCTCTCTCCACTGTGGTTCCTTAGCTCCAGATGGCGTCATAGCTGACTGACTTGCCCCGGTTATGGAGCCACTGTCCTCACTCTGATTCCCCACTGCTTCTACCTGAGCTCTCCCTTTAACTCTCTTGTCCAGGTGATTCGTCCCCCTGGTTTGTGCACTCTGACCAAAATACACATACAGGAGAAAGATGTGAGTCCGCTCAGAAAAAAAAGAACCCCAACAACCTGTGCATGCAATTGGTCATCTTTATGATAATGGGGCAGATGCTGATCATGACTACTTTACATAGATACTTTTAAATAGTATTTCATTATTCTGTGTAGGAATGTATATAGGCCTATAACTTGCCACAGTCACATTCAAACATAAGTATATAGTATATAGTCATAAATTTGTCAGCTCTGCGTTGCCGTACAGCAAAGAATGTCTACCTCCAAACATGCAAACCCACTCCTATGTAATTATAAATAGCAATTTCTAAGGCAAGGCAAATATAAAGATTGACATTTTCAGTTCATGGGTGATAATAAATAGCATACATGTAGATTATATATACTACATATACCAGTAAATCCCTGTAGTTAGTATACACTGTGCCTTTAAATGTTTTAATAAGAAAAAACAAAACATTTTTTTCTTTCCGTCACCATTTGTAAATGTTAAGCATAATCATATTGTTTCTTAAACGTCACTTGTTATGTAATCGGTAATCTGGTGCTGACTCAACTTCAGACTGGATGGTTTACGGTTTAATGTTTGTTAGTATTCAGAACAAATACATTCTAAGATAACCAAAGAAACCAAAGAGTGCTTCTCTCTTCCAAAATGTTAGTGGTAAACATCGCTAAATTGTCACAATATTGTGTTGTTCAGAACGACAGTGAAGTCATTAAGAAGCTTACAGGCGTTCTGTCAGATTAGGTTTTTTCTCCTTCTAATCCTGTAGATTACCACTGCACAAGCCTGCTGGCTGTGAGTCCTTCGTTGCTCTATGTGGGTTCTTTATATTGATAATTTTTTTTGTAGCCACCACATTGTTGAGTTAAGTTAACTAAGACTAATGAACGCTGTTACGGAGTTTGAAGATTTTGTAGATTTTGAAGAGCTGCATGCAGAAAAAAAAAGCTTAAAAAGATCTCATATGTAACTGTCTAAATTAGGAATGCAATGATGTGGATTGTATAAAATATAGCATGGATTCTTGAATATTTATATAGGCCTTATTTTGTTTAAATAAAGAATAGGTACTGGTGAGAACAGCAACCCTGCCCCTCAGTGGATCATCGGCTGAGCAAAGAGGATAACTCATTCTTCGGACTAATGCAGATGGTCTCCATCGCTCAGTGAAATGGAGACAGAACCGTGTTGTGAAGAGCAGAGGGACCGTGTATTGGATCCCACAGAGCCTCAGATAGCAGACGGCATTTCTGAACTCACAGATAGCAACTCTCTGACCAAGCTGCCTTGTGGGCCTGCAGAGGAAGGTGAAGAACTGGGTAAGAAAGACCCGTCTGAAACTGACAGCCATGCAGTGGAGAGTAAATCCACTGAGATAAAAGGCTCAGCTAACTGTGAGCAAGAGAGAGAAAAAGCAGAATGCAAGATAGAAAAGAAATTAAGAAAAACAAACAGCTGGAAGATGGTTCGATTTCAAGACCCTTCGACAGAAGAGGACGTGGTGGAAAGGGACAGCTCAGCGGAGATTCTCTTTCCAGAATACGCCGTTGAGGAGTGGACATCCACTCCGTTTGAGGACCTGTTTATGGCAGAGGATTGGGAGAACATCACAGGTGAGAACACATGCATTAACAAACATGGCCTCTAATTACACATATCTACAATTATAATATTAAAAGTCTTAACATCACCTGTTTAACTGCTAAAATCAGCTGTAATAAATGGCCGTTGTAAATTCTTAGTCTTATCTTAATGCTTTACTCTTTGCTTTTACATAGAGGATGGGATGTTGAGGAAGAAAGTTCTGGAACCAGGAGACATACAAGTCCCACACTCCACCTGGGGTCAGGAGGTCACTGTGAAGATGCAGGGTGTTCTTGAGGACCGTACAGTGGTGGAGAAGGACTGCAAGCTTGTCTTTGTCATTGGAGAGGGAGACGTAATACAGGTGATATTCAAGTGCTTTTCCTTAAACATTCAACTGGTGTGTGTTACCTCGTACATCCCAAACAGAAAGAAAGTCAACAAATCTATTCCTATCAGCTAATAGTGCAAATAAACTCATGTAGGCAGTATGGTTGCCATCTTAATCTTAGTTGCATGTTTTCCTGCTGGAGCTATTTAAATCGGGATATAACAAAAGGAGTAACTAGGACGGACAGGACAAAAAAGTATGAACTGCTTATTTATCAGGGTTCCAAGGCATTCTCCCATCTGCTGCAATCATGCCAATTGTCTGTGACCCCAATTTTGGTCACTTATTTATTTTTTCTGAGAATCAACTCTACTGGTCATCCTTCACAACTTTCTGTGGTTCTATTGAGAAATATTCAGCGAAAAGTATCCAAAGGTGTTTGCTACTTTAACTAAACAATGTGAATTATGTTTTTTAAGATAATTTTAAACTTTTTTTTTTTAATTGTGAATTATGTTATTTTTTCCATTTGCTGAAATGCTTTTGGTTGGTAAATTGTTCAACAATGCATCAGAAAAGAACAGTGTTTTTCTAAAAATCTCTTTACCATGGCCTTTTCTGCTCCCTTACTTAATAACACATCTAAAAGTGCATGCCTTTATTTATAGTTTCCAAGAAAGATGTGTCTAAGGTGTTAAAAGGCTCTAATGATGAAGGAAAAGCCAACAAACCCATGTCCAAGGTGTAAATGGACTTTGAATGTGTAATCTGTTTGAATAAATAATTTATATATATATATATATATATAATACCAATTCACTACACGTCATCTCAAGGCACTTTACAATTCAACCAGATTATACAGTCAAATTGATTCAAAGGTATAATGATGTCCAAGGTATTAGGCGACTTTGAATGTGTAATTTGTTTGAAGCAAGAATTTCAGATGTTTTAAAAATAGAGGTTTAGATAACTAAATATTTTCCATACTATGTCAATTGTTGTCAACTGTTGTAAGAGAGTAAAATGAATGTATATCATTAACAGCTATATGTACTGAATCTAATAGTAACTTTGTAGCAGCTCAACACCAATTATTTGTTGATAAATTATATTGAAAAAGAAGTGTAATTTATTAAAATCTGAAAATCATAAACCACTGTTTCTGTCAGTTAACTAAGATAATCAATACATAAAGCCTACATGTGTTTTTAAAACAATTATCTTATAAACTAGATGTGAAAAACGGCCATTAAGCGTTCCAAGTAATGTGTTTCTTGACACCTGTAGGCTATAGAGGAGTGTGTCATGTCAATGCAGAAGGGGGAGATCACATTACTGCTGGCAGATTCCCAGTATGCCTATGGACTTCTGGGAAGGTAAGGACTTTCCACTTGCTTTTGATGATTGTATTCTTACAACTTAGGAAACATGCTCAGAACAAGCTCAACAGGACTTATGCACTTATTTTTTATTGGACAATTACAGCATTAAAATATAATCTTCAGCCTCTTAAACCTGTTGCTGTGGGGGCAGTCTGTGCATCATGGGTTAGTGGGGTTAATGGAGCATAAACAGGAGCAGATGGCTTCCTCTGAACACCATTCAGAGGAAAACTATCAGTTGTGTGTCTGTAACCTCCTAACCTATGGGGGGACCCTACTCGTATTACAGCCAATGGCTTGGGTTTATAACCTTTGCACCAGTGAAGAGCCAGTGTAAACGCAGAAAGCTTTCAGAAGCTGCTGCCTAAGACCTGTTCTTAACAGTTAAAGTGTTTGCTGAGGGAGAGAAACACATTTCATATCTAATAAAATACAAATCACTGATAACATAATGCATCATGTCATATTGCATAAACGCTTCATAAAACCATCTAATGAAGAGATCTGTTGATTTAGTTGTTTTTGCTGCTTAGATAGAGAAGAATTACAGAAATATATTTTCTGACTTTGATATAATTTAGCAAACATTTCCCCAGACCTAGACTTAGACTTAGACAGATTTTATTTGTCATTTTGTGTACACAAGTGTAAAACAAAAAGATATTACGTTTGGAACAGCTTTCTGGACAATTTAATCTTTTTAAAAGTGCAGCCTTGAAAAATAGTTTAAAAAAAAAGGATTTCCTATTCTTTTCTGTTTTATTCTATTCTCATCATTTTTGAAAAACACAATGTCTATCCCGTATGGTAATAATAGGATGATTATAGTTTATTTATCGGAAAAGCTGCATTGACTCCAATTTGTTTACCAAAATGTTATTATAAGCATAAAAAAGTGCAGAATTCCTGGCTAGATTTACTGTATGATCTATGCTTAGCTTTACAAGCAAAAAGGAAAACAGACTGTTTCAGAAAACGATAAAAACATTACAACATCGAAATAGTTTTTGGTAAGCCTTTTGTTTTTCTTTTATATGAAAAAAACTCTTTCTGCGTCTTCTGAGTGAGGCACATTAGGTTCTGTTTGTATTGCTGACACTCTGCAAAGAACACGGCCTGTGAGATGTCGAGAATCTCTCTTTATGTCGTGTGTTGAGCAGGAGGCAGCAGGAGGCTGGTTAATGATTGTTTTGATGCCACTGATTAGAGTTGTGTGCTCTGTGTATTCAAACCTTATTTGAACCACAGGGTAGAAAGTCAGAGCTTCGTGACTGCTCCTCCAATATGATTCATTGACTGACAATGTCGGTTACCCTTACCTGTATTGTTTTGGGTAACTGCATTTTGTTTTCAACACTGTCAGCTATTCAAATGTGAATTAAGCAATATTCTAGGTTGAAATCTCTTTTAGTTTTTATTAAATTTCATGCTTGTAATCACCACAGCTGTTAGTTTAACAGGTTAAAATAGTTGGTGTTAGTTGGTCCAGACTGCTAAAACAGTCCATCAGATATATGGTAATACAGTATGATATGCAAAGAAAACATACATGAAGCAACAGATGTAAATTTTGACTGTGGAATAAACGAGCTCAGTATGTCTGTACTGTAATGTGACAGACAAGGAGACAATGAGAGAAAATCTCATTGACCCGTCTTTGTTCTCTGGCAGATGCACTGATTGAACTTTGTCAATCCTCTGCTGCAAACAGGGCTGTTAAGAGTATTTGAAGGAGTATAAAGCTGGTATGAATCATCACTGCAGTGTGCAGTGGTCTGTAGCTCAGTGTCCTTGTTATATTGGCTGCACTGTCAAGGATGCAGAGACCCCAGGAAAAGGTGGGAGCAGTAACTTGATCACCATACAGCAAACATAGTTATCTTAACAAAGTGATGGATGTGCAGATATTTAGTTGGATGGATAGTTGACCCTTCTGTGACATTAGTATGTTGCTCTCATTTGAGGAATTTTAGGAATACATCTTTTACCCTTTTATATCCCTTTCTACACTTTGTCATGGTACAGGTACAACCATCAATGCTTTTTATTATGATTTTATGTGACATAGAAATACACAGTAATACATATTTATTAAAGCTACAGTGTGTAATAATTACAGGCATATAAATTCAGAAATTTAATATATTATACATAACTATGTTATTTATCATCACCTATGAGCTCAGCCTTTTAACCATAACATTTGCGTTGCCTTAGAATTCGTTATTTATAATTACATAGGAGCGGGTCTCGCAGCCATGGAGGCTGACATCTTTGCGCTACGGCAGCGCAGAGGCAACAAACTAGCGATTGCGAGATCTCCCATTACGCTCGAAAATAACTACGGCAAGTTGAGAGAGATGAACTGAGACGGTACTGAACAGTAGATGGCAATATTATGCCTGAGAAGCGTTTAGTCTGCCTGAAACCAAAGAAGAAGAAGAAGCAGGTATACTGCGCCTCGGTAACAAGAAAGGTAAACAAGGCGGCAGGCGTGAGTGACTTTGCAAACTGTTTGGCACTGTGTGGCCAAACATCAGACGAATGGAGGATCATGCCTACTCTGTATCACAACGAAAAGCGGCGGACACCGAACCCCCGTCATCTAAGAAGCGGAAACACGACGAGAATAAACGCAAGAGTGACAAGAAACGACAAAAAACACGGATCAACATTGGCACGGCATTTACACGATGGAAGTCACTGATGGAGGAAAAAGGTTTTCAAAGTGACGCTCAAGTTGCCAGTTTTCTCTTGGACAGGTAATTAATCCTATACACACAATTGTCTAATATCACTGCAGTTTTTGGAGTACAGGATGCTCAGACCTGTCTAAAACAATAACATGCTGCGTGATGATGCTGTTACTCTCCAGTATACTTATTCAGCAACGTCCCTGACGTTTCACAGGTAATGATTCAGTAATTTTCTGTAAAATAATTTTCTGGATATATACCTCGGTTACTTCTCTCCGGCTCCTTTGGAGATCTTCAAGCCTTTCCTCCTCTGCTCTCACCCCGCTGGCTCCCCTCTCTCGCCTGGCCCCAGCTGCACGCTCACCCCGGCCTCTCTGCCCTCTTCCTTTCCCTCTTCCTTGCCTTGTAACCCCCGTGCCACAAACAAGACTTGGACTCTGTAAACGGGGAATATATATTCTTCCAGCGAACACAATCTCGCTGTTAAACTAATGACTACAATTACTTCGTCTGTTTATATCACCATGCAAAGCAGCTCACCAAAACGTCACAACGACGTAGAAAAAATAACGGGTATATTTATTATCTTAAGTCTACATGAAATCTATACCCTACACAGACTAATGAAATACTATCTGTAAAATTATCTATGTAAACAAACCTCATCACTTGAGAAGGTAGGTGATGCGGACGTCGTGGAAGACATTTTGTCCCGTAACGCTCGCCGTACTGTTGGGGGGGAGAAGCGGTGGGGGGGAGACGTTCATGTTGCTGCAGTCTGCAGTCTGACCGCTAGATGTCGCTGAAAATTACACACTGTAGCTTTAAATAGAATAAATATTAGTTTTAAATGTTTTACTAGGAAGAGATGCACTGTGGATTTAATTTGTTTTGAGTCCTGATTCTGAACCAATTTATTGTAAATTCAGTCTGCATCAATTTCAGTTTAAAGTCTTATTATTGTCTGTACTTTTCTTTTTGAAGGGGGCTCAGCAGTCTTAAAGGGGGTCACAGGCTATGAAAAGGATTTTTTTCCCACGAACAATCCTTATCAACTGGAGTTTATAAATTTCAATTGGATATCATTTGGATACATGTGCTGTGCCAATTCACAGCACGTGTCATCTCAAGACACTTTACAATTCACACAGTCAGATTGATTCAAAGTTTTCTATCTAAGGAAAACCTGTTGATTGCATCAACTAATTGACACAAAGGCAATCCATCACACTAAGCATGATTGTAGCAAGAGTGGAGAGGAAAAACCGGTTTTAACAGGAAGAAATCTCTAGCAGAAGCAGACTCAGTATGAGAGGCCATCTGCTGAGGCTGACTGGGGTTCAAGGAGACAGAAGCAGAGATAGAAAAAGAAGCAGAGATACAAAAGCAACTGTAAACAAGCTCCACAGGTGGCCCCGTCCAGGAAACACACAGCCAGGCAGATGGGCTCCGAGCCAGCTCCCATGTCAGAGGATGAAGAGAGCACATCTAGCCAGTCACAGTCAGAGAAATAGGACTACACTGAAAAACATCCCAAGCTCCAACATCTATAAACAAAGGTGTTGATGGCAGCAGCACAGCTGATATTTCTCTCCAGGATGGTGTCACAGCCAAACAGGAACAGACGAGGCAAAGCTACTATGAGAAAAAGGAGAGAGAGCATTATTTTAGAGATTGAACTAACAAATAATACAGAGGGGGAGAATAGAGATAGAATGGAGCAGAATGATGAAAAATAGGTCCCTGTGTCCTCCAGCAGTCTGAGCAAACAGCAGCATAACTATAGAGATAGCCAGAGATGGGAAGTAACGAAGTACAAATACTTTGTTACTGTACTGAAGTAGATTTTTCTGATATTTTTACTTTACCTTACTACTTATTTTTATGGCGACTTTTTACTTCTACTCCTTACATTTTTACACAAATATCTTTACTTTCTACTCCTTACATTTTTACACAAATATCTGTACTTTCTACTCCTTACATTTAAAAAAATTGGCTCGTTACTTTAGTTTTGAATCATTTAAATGGAGTTACCGTTATTATTTTTCACGTCATCAATACCAAATTCAATCTAATTGGATGGGAATCTACGTTGCATTTGACGCACCACTACAAGATGAATCGACAGATTCGGCGGTATTCATTCGCGGCAAATCATTGCAGCTTGGTGGTGGTGGCGTTAGAGTAGTAGTATGGACGACGAGATGATTGAAAATGAACACAACGGAGATCTAGTCCTATTGGCAGACATCCATTTAAAATGTAGGCAACGGCATGAAAAAAGTGGTTTCTACT